TGGATGTAAGTAGAACAATAACATTCTATATCTCTGTTTTGACTCTTTTATTTGGAATAAAGATCCTACTGAAAGAATTAGCAATCTTCCTGTGCGTCTCAAGAATCATATCCATCCTCCTCTTTTCCATCTCCATTCTGTGCCTCCCAGCCTCCTTCATCATCTCAATCTTCTTCTTCTCAATTCTCATAAACCCCTCTGCAAAACCCCTAATTTCCTCTGCCAATTTACTGTCTCCATCTTCCTCCTCTGTCCCATGTTCATCCAACTCCTCTTCCTCCTCCTCTTCATCATAACCCCTGGGATCATTAGTACCAGTTCTGTTCGGGTAATTCACAAGGTTGTTTATGCTCTTCGACTTATTTGGCTTGAAATCAAAACCTGCATACCCATCATCCTCCTCATCGTACACATTGTGATCGTAATTCGAGTCGGGATACTTTACCATGGCTACGGGGAGAGCAGCGATTGGCAAAGGTCCTCGTTCCATTTGATCCATGAGCTCGAAAAACTGCCAGGAATTCGGGTAGGGCTTGACCCGCTCGGATTTGTAGCGCTTCCGGAGCTTCTCAATCTTGTGGCGGCACTGGGTGGAGGATTTGGAAAGCTCGTCGAATCCACAGCGGGCCGCAACGGCTATAGCGACCTCTTCCCACTGGCTGGCCTTGAGCTGGCCGCGATTGAGAGAGTACCACTTCTCTCTGTAAGATTGGATGAGGTTGACCGTCTCTTGGGGGGTCCAAGGGAGGGGAGGGCTCTTTTTGTGGGGCGAGGATAGGGTTTCGGGAGAGGATTGACCGTACCGATCGGAATCCTGTGCTGAGGAGGAGCGGCCGGCCATTTGTGCTTGTGGTTTGTATGGAGGAGGAGGGGGGTGAGGTGAAGGAGATGTCAATTTATGAAGGGATGATTGCAGAAGTGGCGGCGGAGGAGGAGGACCGGTGGTGGTGCAAGAGAGTAATGGGATTGGTCGTTGTGGCCTAGTGGGTGTAGAAAGTCAGGGGATGTCACGTTTCTAAGACGGGCCGGATAAAACCGACCCATATCTTTAACGCTTGCTCCATTTATTCTTGGGAATTTTCCCAAAATGGGACTATTTATCTTTACTAATTCCAAAATAGGAGCAGCCCGAAAGTCAATTTCGCATAGGACCAAATGACGACTGAAATGCCTATTATACCCTCAAGTCATAACCGCTGTATCACCGTTTCCAATAACAAAAAAAACGCGCCTCTATCATCGTGCTCTCGAGGCTCTCCAACTCTCGAAGAAACCATTATTCAACTTCCTCTCAGCAACTTCCTCAGAGCAAACCGTATTGGAAGGAGAAAACGACTGGCGCTGAGAACACAGAAGTGAGAAGCGACGAAGAAACCACCATTGTTGTCGTCAACAATGGCCGATTTGAACTCCACAAACACGGAACGGAGAAACGATATGAAGCTGGTATGTCTTTCTATATTTATGATTTACATTTACGAAAACTAGGTTAAAATGTGTGATAAGAAGTCTAATAATGTAAGTTTCAACCTAATTTCTACTTGCATGTGAATCATTCTGAACAGGACAAGTGCGATAGATTTTTTTACTTCGATGTTTAATATGGTGTATTGTTTAAGTAGTAAACAGATGCAAACATGAATTACTTCCTTTATAGTATGTACAAGTCAAGAGAATTGCTATATATTTCTGATTTAATGAGTTGTTCCTAGAATTTATTTCAATCATGGTCTGTTTTTGAAATATTGATGAGTTCTTAGTGTTGTTTAGGAATTAAACCAGCTACTAAAAGGTCTTGACATTTTAGATTACATATACTGTCATTTTACTTACTTGCAATGATGAATGTAAACACAATATTGATGTTTACTATTCATAGGCAATAAGAAGGTCATGTGACAAGGACATCTTGTCAAAGATGAACAAACTAAGAGTAAACTGCTATTGCAATGTGCTGGAAGTGGTTAAGGCCATTAAGATGTACTTGAATGAAGAAGAACAGTCTGAGTTTAGAAGAACTGTGTTTGGGTGGATTCTGGATGCAGATTCTATATCATGGATAAGTGGGCAGTTGTTATTGGGGCTGATTGGAAATCATGTTGAAGAGGTGAATCACATAGTACAAACTGATAAGATCACTTTCAACATTAGAAACAGTTTGGTGTCATTTACAAAAGAAGACTTTGCTCTGGTGACATCTTTTAGGATGGATGGAGTTAAGAAAAAAATACAGAAGGATGTGCAGGGGGATATCTGGAAGAGATATTTCAATGGAAAGACATATGTGTCAAGACAAAACATCACCGATGCTTTGATTGTCTACAACCGCGATGATGAGGGAACTATTGAGGGTGATGGTGTGAAATTAGCTCTGTTGTATCTGCTAGGGAATGCCTTATTTGGAAACCAGAATAAAGTAGTACTGCCTTCATACTATGTGAATCTGGTGGATGATATGGAAGCTTTTAATAGCCACCCATGGGGAAGAGACATCTGGGATGATTTGGTCAACAATGCAGGAAAAAGTGTTGAGTTATTGACTACAAGTTCTTCAGACCGTGTCACATTTCCTGGGTTTATGTTTGCTGTACAAGTATGGGCCTTTGAAACTCTTACAGGACTGAACAAAGATGGTATTTGCGTCTTCAAAGAAAATCAAGAGAATGCTATTCCTCGCACCCTGAAATGGAGTTTTAACAAAAAGCCAAGTCTGCAACTTCTGTGTAAGTTGATATTCCATAACAATGAGGTATCAATTGAAATATTTTCAATGTACATAATTGATTTTAATATAAATATATTGATGAAATGGTTTTCTTTTTTGCAGTTTGAATATAAACCAATGGAACCAACAGCTCAAGAGATGGAAATACAAGAGTTGGCATTACTGTTCCAAAACTTCGAAAGAGAACGTTGGCAGTTTGATGGTGGAATAGACTGTAGTGAAGAGATACAAACTGAAGGTAATGACAAAGGTGCAGATTGCAATGAGAAGGAAGTTGAAAATGGAAGTGGAAAGGTTGAGAAAAAGAAGAAGTCAAGGTCCAGAAAGGGTGCTGCTCTTAAAAGAAAGTGCACTAGGGAAAGCAATGATGATGATGAAAATGACTCATTACTGCAAAAACTTGTTAAGAAGACTGACATGATGATGGAAGAAATGGCAAGGATTAAGAATATCCAGAGAACACATGGGTCTTTATTGAGAAAGATACTGACAAGGTTGGAAGGTACACATGTAGTGACAGGTGAAGCTAAGAAGGTTAGCCAAGGGGAAAAGCAATGCATCTTTGAAAAAGATGATGTGGTGCTTCATGAAACAACAACTGAAAGAGAGAAATCTGATGAAGGTGGGAACATTGAAATTGATGAAAATGCCACTGAGAAGGATGAAATTGCAGAGATGGATGCAGATAAAGGGGATCATATAAAGACAGTGCCGGAGGAGATTGATGATGCTGAAGAGTTGTTGAAGAATGATGAAAATAAAAGTTCTAATGAAAAGAAAGCAATGGCAGAGGAAGATGGCACCGTTGTTGAAAAGGAGAATGCTGAAGTGTCTGAGAATGAGATAGATTCTCAAAGACCATCGTTCAATATATTTGGTTTTTCTTCTCAGGAAGAAGAGCTTGCGAAAAAAACTGATGAGTCAGTTGTTGATGAGCCAGTTGTTGATGGCACAAGTGAGAAGATGCATGTTGGCAATGATATTGGAAAAGAGGACTGGAGAAAATTGAATGATGATGACACAGATTATGATGAGGATGAGTTGCTCAAAGTGGATGAGCTGATTAACAAAACCATACAAAAGAGAAAAGAGAAGTCAACCGAAACAACCATTGAGGAATCCACAAAGGTATGAAATTCAAAATTGTTCAATACATATTCAAGTAATATATATAATAATAATAATAATTAATATCTCAATATATTGTAGAAAATGGAAGTGGTAGAAGGGAAACTGGAAAGCAAGTCAAAGAAAGAAGATGCAAGTGCTATAAATCAGGTATAGTTCTGTTAGCACTTAATTCTGACAGTACGTACTTTTTAGTATTTCCAAATGTCTGATATAGTTACTGACAAACAAGACAATATTGAACATGAGTATGTGTCAACGTTGGCAGTAACACATTGTAGGTGATGAGTATTGCCAAATGTCTGATATAGTTACTGACAAACAAGACAGTATTGAACATGAGTATGTGTCAACGTTGGCAGTAACCTAGAGTAGGTGATGAGTATTGTCAAATATTGTATGTACTGACATAGGATGGCAATGATGTTCTACATGCATATGCATCCTATATTGGAAGTAATAGTGTGTAGTTAATATTTAATGGCAAATTAAGTGACATGACAGTACTTGCCAGTAAGTAATGAGAACATTTATGATCTGTTGGCAGTAATGGTATATAAAATATAAAGCGTACTGACACTTGATCAACAGTGCAAAATTATACAGGTTTACCAAGAACCAGAACCTCTAGCTGTGATTTATGGACCTGCAGGTGTAAAAAAGTCCAAAAGGAAACCTAGATCTCCGGAGCGCTACACGCCATCAGAGAGAACTGTGGAGAAAAAGAGAAGGAAGGTTGACAAAGCGAAGAAGAAGGTGCAGGAAAAGTCATTGCCGCAAACACTAGAGCTCAACGGTCCATTTTCTGAAGATCCAAAGCATATGCCAGAGAAGAATCAGGTTGATAAAGTGGCAGCTTATTTAAAAGTTGGATTGCTGAAAAACAGAAAGCGTGGTACAGGCTCTGTAAAATATAAGAAACATGATGAAAACATGCATGGAAAGCCATTCATGTTGGACTGCATGACTATTGATTCAAAGACATGGTTGTATGAGCTGTTTACCAACCCAGAATGGTAACGTGATACGGTATGTTTTAATTCAAATATTCAATGACATATCCATCAATTAATTACTTAAATTCTGATCATTTGTGAAAATGTACTCCAACAACTATGTAAACATTTTATTCAACAGCATATAGAAGTGGGAATGTATTACTTAAAATACAAAGCTGAGCAGTACAAGCTCCCTCAAAAGTTGACCACAACAAGCCCCTTTTTTGTTGCCCACTTAAAGACAGAGAATGATAAAGTTGCAAAAAAGAAGATCACTGTGGACGAGGCTGCAGATGATGATGCTATAATGACTGAAATCTTAGGAAGTAGAGAAGATGTCTCTAGTGCATGGTCTGAAGTAGATTTTGTCTACATGCCAGTGAACAATGGAAACCACTGGGTGTTAGTGGTTCTTGATTTACAAAGCAGGATGATAAGGGTTTATAACTCTAAATGCAGAAGAGGAGAGTCCCTGAGAGATATTGGCGAATTTCTACAAGGCTTGACAAGTCTACTGCCAAAAATCTTGGACAAGTATGGTGTGTATGATGGAATTGGTGGTGGAGATATGGGTGAAAAACAATTTCAGATTGAAGGTGTAGAAAATTGTCCCCAACAGAATGACAGGTATGATAAGCAATAGTTATTCAATTTTCACAACTATTTATTCACTATTTAAAATAATATTTGTTATATATTATTCTAATCAACTGCTATTTGTCTTGTAATATAGTGGAAACTGTGGAATGTTCTTGCTAAAGTTTGCGGAATTCTTGATGATGGGAAGGGACATCAACGAAATCAAACCTGAAGACATGCCTATGTACAGGAAGAAAATGGCAACGGAGTTAATGATGTACAATGAAAGAAGGACCAAGGATTCAGTGAAATAAGCAACAAGATGCACTTGCTTATATGTAATGCTGTGGGATAATTGACTTAGTAATCACAATATGGCCGTTTGAAACACTTTCTTTTTAATGTTTAGCACACATGACAATGGGGTACTGATGTATTTTGCTTAAATTGTATTTGGCTAATATCTTGACATTGCTACTTATATTTGGAATGTATTTACGATGCTGATGCACTTTTGTTGATATTGGGACATATGTAATGCTATTCTTTTAAAAGGATATATGTGTCCTAAATAGGATTACTACTGCCATTGATGAATGTCAAGTAATGCCTAAAGTTGAAAGTAAATAATGTCATCCTACTTCCATTTAAAATACGAAGTACTGCAATTATTTGGAAGTAATAACTAAAATATGGAGTAATACTGTCATCGTACTGCCATCGTGAATACGTTGTACTGCAATCACTTTGAATTCATGAATTAAGGTGACAGTTAATACTATCATCGTATTGCTATATGATGGCAGTATCTACTCACAGAGTGAATACTGACATTAAATATATTCTATACTCCACCATACAGGCATTATTAAGGAAGTTTTTATTAAAGATAATATTATATACTGACATTATGAATAAAGTAATAAGTTTATAGAGAAATAATGACAGATATTGCATTTGATGCCAATACTAGTTGGCAGTATTTAAATAATTCATACTGGCAATATTAGGCAGTAGTATTTTCAACATGTGCATGAAATGACAGTACCTTTAAGAATGATATCTCAGGAAACAAAATACCATATATTCAATGTTCAATATTCAATATAATGAAATATAAGAACCACAACAGTGTGTAATAAATGTATCTCAATCTTCACATAGGAATGAAAATGTAACCAAAACTAAAATTAGAATTAAAAGGAAATACAGTACGAAACAGCTTCTTAAGAATGAATTGTAAGTGCATTCTTGCAACTTTTTTTGTTATGCCCAGCAGAATGGCAACGAGAACACTTTTGCCGTTTGGTTGCACGGAATTCTCCAACTGATGGTATCCTTTTTGTTTTTGGTCGACCAGCTTGTCTTTTAGAACATGAAGGTGGCTTGCAAACAATACTTTGAACATGAGGTGGAACTATCCAAGAAGATACATCACCAATTGGATGCTGCACCCCACTATAGGTATTCAACACAGACTGTCTCGTATAATAATATGATATATAATCATAGCAGGAAACACCAGCGCGTGTGCCTATGGCAGCTACATCATGTACACAAACAAAATGCTCTAATTGAAACATACGGCACGTGCATGTTCGGTCATTGAGATTGACAATAAAAGATCTACGAAGTCTATCAACAACTTCAAACTCATAACGGCATGACGGTTTAACCTGAAAAATTAAGGTTAATGAAAGATGTGAACTATAGATAGAACAATACAGTCAATACAACACAAGGATAAACTAGAACATGGCAGTACAATAGAAATGTGAATGAAACACTGTCACATTCATGTAATAAATGTGACAGTATACACTTGCCAGTAACTAAATCAAAAAGTGAAACACAGAGAAAATGAGATTGTTACCCTCATCCTTGAAGCATCCCTCTGCAATGAAACTAAATGTTTCTCAAACTTTAGAGTCAAATGAGTAGTTGATGAAGTTGCATCTTCTAGCCGCTCCGCAAACCATGTTTGCATTCTTTCTCGGATAAAATCCAAAAGCTTAGCGACAGGGTACTCTCTTGCATTAGCATCCATGCTGTTCATGGCCTCTGCACAGTTAGAGGTCATAACACCCCATCGACTCTTAACTGCCATGCTTCGAGCCCACTTTTCCGTTCCAATCTTCTCTAGCCACGGACGAATCCTAACATCTTCCTCATCCAACATGGACAAATATTGATAGCATTCATTCACAGTTGCAGCCTCCCATGCAGCTTTAAATTTCCAACCATGGTTGGATGACTTACCTCGAAATTTGGATCTCATATTACGCCGCAGATGTTCACAACAATATCCATGGGAAGCGTGTGGAAAGATGGCCTTTGCAGCTTTGATAATACCTTTATGTCTATCTGACACAATGTACATGTCATCACGATGTTTAAGGCACTCTTTGAGCCTTGTAAAGAACCACTTCCAGGACGCAGTGCTCTCAGAATCACATACAGCAAACGCTAAAGGCACAATCTGTTTGTTTGCATCTTGGCTACATGCGGTAAGTAATGTCCCTTTGTAGTACGCCTTCATAAAAGAACCATCGATAATAAGAACAGGAATGCAATGCTCCCATGCTCTCTTCCATGGTGCAAGTGACATGAACAAATAGCGAAACACATCATTATCCCCTCTAATGAGCAACACGTCAGATCCTGGATTAGCTTGGTCTAGCATATGGAGCATTGACGGCAACAATTGGTATGCCTCTGAATCTGAACCAAATTGTTTTCTCATGGCAGATTTCTTTGCAGCCCAAAACTTCTTGTATGATATCGGTATTCCATACTGCAACAACAAATCATCCCTGATTTGTTTAGGTGTATATGGTTTTTTGGAAGCATCCATATATTGCTGAGCTACAAGCTCAGCAATCATTGCAGAAGTGGCCTGCCTGTGATGAACACCTTGCCTAAAGTCTATTGAGCAAGTGTGATCAACATCAAACCTATATGTAAAGAACAACGAATAAATATAAACTGATGCATATAAAAAGTACGGGAGAAGGTACATGCGTTGCAGTAATTGTTGACTGTACATGAACACAATGAAAATAATATAAACACAGGTGGAAGAACGTAGGAGATGACAGTATACATGCTTGGAAATACAAGGTGTGCAGTGATAGTATTCTTAAGCAATGAAACTTTGAAATAGGAAACACATAATGCAAGATTCTTAAAATACATCAGAAACAACTACAAAAATATGAATGAATTAAGAATTATACCTTCTAATTTGAAAAAGCTGAACACCTTTGAGCCTAACAGCACGAACAGCCCATTTACAATTTTCTTTGTCCAAACACATCACATGCAATGAATGCTTCTTTGAAGTCTTTGCATAAAATTGGAAGCTACTATTGATCGCGTACATTCTAAGGTGATAAAGTAGAGCTTGCTTGTTCTCGTATATACCATGGAGCACAATCTTAGTAGCAGAATAACGTGTAATGACATCACAGTTTTGGTCTAACACAAATGCATGTGAAGAATGACTTTCTAAATTTTCAGAAGAAGAAGAAAGTGAGTCCTCATCAAGGGAATCCTCATTCAAAAATTCAGGAAGTACACCACTGCATGAACTGTTTACTTCAAAGTTATTTTTATTCAAGGAAACACTCAACTGATCGACATAAAAGGAAGATGTGGATGAAAGAACATTATCAAAACTAATTTCAGGAGTACGGGAAGATATTTCAGGATGCAAGTATTGTTCTAGAGAATGGACAACAGTGAAACCGGTATTTCCATTGCACAGATCAACATTAGAACAAGGTGCAGGTGTGACCAAAGTATTTGGAGTAGAAACAGGTAAAACAGGATCATAACTAGGTAGTTCCTCATTGTCAAATTGTATACACAGAGGATACTTTGAGAAATCTGATTGAAGAATCTTAAGATCAATATAAAAGCGTAAACTAGCATCATCATTGACTCTAACAGGTGGAGGACAGGATTCAACAAGGTATGATATGGTGAAACGTGGATTGCATTTGATTTGATCAATACTGCCATTCAGGATGTCTAAGAGTGATGAATATGTGCAAGAATATGGGACATGAATACCTAATGTCGCTTTGTTCACGAAGACAAAGTCAGCCCCCCATATACCATCCAACTTGACCATTATAAGCAAAACACGATCCATTACAGCGATTACAATATATGAGAACACTGCAAAAACGAATTGATGAATCTTAGAACATTAATGAGATCGGAACAAATTAGAGAACTTCTAAAAAAATGATACAGGATACATTAGAACACTTCGAAAACAGGAAAAACAAACTGAAATTCATCGAAATCGAATGAGCAAAATAGGCGAAAGTAAAAAAATTGAATAATCGGACAGAATACCTGGTAAAAAAGTTGACCTCGAGCAGAAAATTTGAGAACAATTCAAACGTTTTCCGATCTAAAGCTTCAATAAATTAAGACTGTTTGGTTCAAAACCCTTGTCTGAAGTGATTTGCCATCCTCACGAAGCTCACTTTTAGAGTTGCCATGATCTTTCGAACGAGAACTTGCAGAGGCAGCGTAGAAGAGGACGAGAGAACTGAGATTCGTTAAGATTAGATGGGTAATCGGATGTTAGGCGAGAAAGAAGAGGGGTATTTTAGGAATGAAAATATCTTATGTTTTTAATAAGGAGCACCGGGGTCCCATTTTTAGAAATAAAGTCAAAGAGTTCCATTTTGGAATTAGGAAAGCTAATTAGTCCCATTTAGGGTAAATCCCCTTTATTCTTTGAATCCTTCTTGGCTAAGTAGCACGGGAAACGGGAAACGTGAAACGGGAAACGGGAAACGCGAGAAACGTAATTTCTAAAAAATATAGGACATGAAACGTGGGGGAAATGCGTAAATATTATAAAATATAAGGATATATTTATAAATATTTTTTAATATATGTACACAAGTTTTTCCATATGCACATGTTTTTTTAATATAATTTGTTTAGTAACCAAATAATAAAATTACTCTACATGTTCGAATTTAGATATTATTTCATATTAGTACATAATTAAACATAAAATGTACGGAGTAAAACATTTCTAGCAATACATTGCGTTACGAAATGTAACAAATGTTGCCGCTGCGAAATACCACAAAAATTCACTATAAAAAATTATTTTCCACCACAGAATGTTTTGAAAAAGAAAATAATTGGAATCCGAGGTTTCCGAAATGTAGTGAAACAGGTTTCCAAATTTTTCTTAATTACGGAAATGGCCCCGAAACGGGAATTTGAAGTTTTCGAGTTTCCGAAACGCTTCCGAGTTTCTGAAACGTGGAAACGTGAGCCATGAGGAGTTTCCGTGCTTCATAGCTTCTTGGTGTACACCCTGGGTTACACCCTAGGGTACACCCCATTTATTTTAGTTTTTTCCCGAAATAATGCTAATTAAATAAATAATTCCTAAAATATTGTTGGGTTAAAAATAATTTTCAAAATATTGCTGGGTTAACCGTGGTTAAGGAAAGCCGCCACTTGAAGTGGCGGCTTTTCTTTTACAGTACAAAAGACGCCACTCCAAGTGGCGGCTCTTCTCTTACAGCATATT